CACAAGGTATAATCCGCAATGCTGCGGGATTTTTCAGAAGTATTGTCCAGGTACTGACGACCCACATATTTACCGGTCAGGTGAATGTATAATCCTTTCGCAACAATGCCGGTAGCAAACGGCTGAAACCGCAGCGTACCCGCACCTATCAATGAAGGGGAAAATGAAATGTCGGTGGTACCGTAGTTAGTTATTTCCTGTGAGCCGTCATCATAGTTGTCAACGAACTCTGAAAAGTTTTGAATCTTATTCTGTGAATAGGTGACATTACCCAGTACAGACAGCCATGATAAAGGACTAACGCCGCCCTGCAACTCAATGCCTGCACGATAACTGGAAGCTACATTACTCCGTGTATAAGCACCTACATCATTGATCTTACCGGTGAGCACCAGCTGATTATCATAGTGCATATAATAGAGGTTAGCAGCGATGTTCCAGTTTTTGCGGTTGATCTCATAACCTGCTTCTGCATCATATAGCCGCTCAGGTTTAGGAAGGGCGTCCGGGGATGTTTCAAAATCTTCCCGGTTGGGCTCATGATTGGCTACAGCGAAGGATGCATAGAGCTTCTGACGATCGGCGGCAGTGCTGCGCAACAGGTAGGTAAGGCCGGCTTTGGGGTTGAAGAAATTGTATGCAACAGCAGGACGCAGGGTTGGATTTTCCCGGAAGCCGTTCATCGTATAAGCGATGTTGCGCCATTGGAGGTCGGCAAACCCGATGAGCCTTTCTGTGAAATCATGTTGTGCTTTTGCATAAATATTAAGGTCATTCTTCTGGGCATCTACATTGTAAAACCGATGGTTATAGGGGATGCCATAAGCAGCCCAGGTTACCTCCCCGATATGCTTGCCGGTATACTGGCTCCAGCCACCGCCAAAGGCAAGACGTGTAGCCGCTTTCTCATACAATAAAGAGAATACAGTTCCATAATGGTAGTTATCAAGTCCCCGCTGACGGATAAGGTCGGTGCGTGTAAACGTATCGCCGGATGGGGTGATAAACGGATCGAGGCCGTAGGACGAGAAGCGCTGATCCAGGCGATATTCTTCATAGTATCCTGCACCACGCGTGAGAAAGATACCTACGTGTGCCGTCAGGTCCTTGTTCAACTTATGATCTGCAAAAAGCTGGTAATAATTCTGCCGGTAGTTGTCGGTCTGGTTGTCGTGGTAAGAACCATCGGCCTTAACCCCCAGCTCATTAAAGCGCCTGTTGGTAGCCAGTGAATCCTGGATGACACCACCCCATGCCTGACCTGTTTTTTCCTGGCCCATCATTGCCATAAAGCGGAAGGATGTTTTATCGTTGGGCACCCAGGCGGCG